TGGAGGCATTATTTGTGCATTATAATCAGCATTTAGAGGCAATATTTATACATTATTGACTGCATTTGGATTGGAGGCATTATTTATGCATTATAGGCAACATTTATACATTACTGACAGCATTTGGAATTGGAGGCATTATTTGTGCATTATAATCAGCATTTAGTGAAAATATTTATACATTATTGACTGCATTTGGGATTGAAGACATTATTTGTGCATTATAGGCAGCATTTAGTGGAAATATTTATACATTATTGACTGCATTTGGATTGGAGGCATTATTTATGCATTATAGGCAGCATTTAGAGGCAACATTTATACATTACTGACTGCATTTGGAATTGGAGGCATTATTTGTGCATTATAATCAGCATTTAGTGGAAATATTTATACATTATTGACTGCATTTGGGATTGGAGACATTATTTATGCATTATAGGCAGCATTTAGAGGCAATATTTATACAAATTATTGACTGCATTTGGAATTGGAGGCATTATTTATGCATTTTAGGCAGCATTTAGAGCCACACACAACAGAAAATCAGTTCAACTTTTTTTATTGCCATTGGAAATCAAGATTTACTTGGGCTTTTTATATAATAAAATGAATGCAATGTTATTGTTAGCATGGAGCCATGATTTACAAATCACGATACTGTGGAACAGGAAAATTATTTATATAAAATATCAAAATAAAAAAAAAAACGCAGAAAATTAAGAAGCAATGGGCCATTCCAGTTTATATCTGCACCCCCACCCCCCCTGTTGATGAGCTTGTGTGTTTACTTCATACATTAATGACAGTAACGATTATCTTTCATTACCGGACTCTGTCACTGTTGATAAACAGTACAAACGAAACAACATGGACAAACATACTAACAATTATGGTAAAGCAATTGTTAACCTATGTTGCAACAGCAATTTCTTAATTATGAATGGTTGAGTTCCGGGGGATTCATTGGGTAAATTTACAAGCCATCAATTCGGGGGGAGTAGTTTAGTTAACTATGGTATTATCAGTTCAGGGTTATTTCATAAGGTGCAATATTTTAAAGTCATGGCACTTAATCATCTGTCAGATCATTGTCCCATTTCTCTTTCTCTCTCTGTTCAGTTTCAACAGGACTACACTGACAATTATGCAAATTTATCCCCACTACTCGGGAAATTCATTTGGGACAGTAAAGGCAGCCAGAGTTTCATTAAGGCTTTTTCAAATAAATCAATGGATGTGAAAATTAGTAACTTCCAGAGTACTAACTTTGAAGATATTGATGTAGCTGTTAGCCGTTTTAATAGTATCCTAACTGATGCAGCTAACACGTCTCTGAAATTCATTCATCCCAGGATTAAGAAGAAAAGCAGTAAACCTAAGCATAAAAAGTGGTTTGAGTGTGATGTTAGTGAGACGCGAAAACAGTTAGTTAGATGCTCTCATTTACTAGGTAAATTCCCCAATGATAATACTATCAGACAGGAAAGATATAACATTAATAAGAAATATAAAAAGTTAGTAAAAGCTAAGAAGAAAGAATATAGGGCCAAGCTTTGTAATAAAATAATGTCACTTCAGCATTCTGACCCTAAGCAATTCAATTAAGCAACTTTGACAATAGTCCCAGTAAAGATGATCACATTAGTGGTGATTCATGGCTTAAACATTTTAAATCTCTGAACAAAGAAATTAACTTAGAAAATAACAGCCACAATTTAAATATCAGAACTAGTATCAGTGATATGGAAAATAGTAACTGGCAGAATACTAACCTTGACATTGATTTTACTAACAATGAAGTTATGAAGCATATTAACTTGCTTAAATCAGGTAAATCGTCAGGCAATGACTTAATTTTAAATGAAATGATTAAGAAAAGTGCTCCTCATGTAATCCATTTAATATGTAAATTATTTAATCTAATTTTAAAGTCAGGTAAATTCCCAGCATTGTGGAACTGTAGCTATTTAATTCCCATCTTTAAATCAGGTAACCCAACTGACACTAATAATTACCGTGGTATTGCAGTTTTGAGTTGTCTCTCAAATGATACTTAATAGTAGGCTTACTAATCACTTGCACCAGACTAACCAAGTCACAGATAATCAGTTCGGGTTTAAGAAAAACCATAGAACTACAGACAATATTTACACTCTTAGAACCCTAATTACCAAATATGTTAATAGTAAGATTAAAAAATCTGGTAATTACTTTTTTTCATGCTTCTTTCATTTTTCCAAAGTCTTTGATTCGGTATGGCGTGATGGTCTAATATATGAACTCCTAAAATTAGGGGTGGGTGGATAAAATTTAACAAGATCATCAAGTCAATTTATAGTAGCACTAAATATTGTGTTAAATTAAATTGTGGTGTAACGCCATATTTCGTTTCACATCGGGGAGTTAAACAAGACTGCAACCTCAGCCCGAGTTTGTTTAACATCATTGTAAATGATTATTGTGACAAAGTTAATAATTTTGACCCTGTTGACATGAATGGTCTAAAATTTAATTGTATCCTTTATGCTGATGACCTGTTACTTCTATCAACTAGTCATGAAGGGTTACAGAGTGGTATCAATAGCATTGACAATTATTGTCAAATATGGAACCCTCAGGTTAACATTAAAAAATCAAATGTCATGATCTTCAATAGCTTGGGTAAAAATTTGGGTAAAACTTTTCAATTTTATTTTAATGGTATTCAACTTGAATGTGTTGACTCCTATAACTATTTGGGAATTATATTTCATTGTAATGGGAAGTTTGATGTGGGTATTGCTCGGTTATATGACAAAGCTCGAAAAGCACTTTTTAAGATTTACAGAATGTTATGAGATAACAATGACTGTTACTCTGTGCGGTTAGCAGGCAAATTATTTGACTCATTAGTAAAACCAATTATGCTTTACAGTTCCGATATCTGGGGTAGTTTCATGTTCAATTTATTTCACGGCACAGGAAATACTAACAGACTTGTAATTACCAATGACAAGTTTCTTTCCAAATTATTTAGTGATAAAATGCTCATTGAAAAATTGCATATTAATTTTTGCAAACAAGTCTTGGGAGTTAACAGAAAAGCTTCAAATAATGCTTGCAGGGGGGGGGGGGGGGAATTGGGTCGATATCCAATTATTATCAATGCCTGTACTACAGTAATGAGTTATTTTCAAAGATTGCATTGTAAGAAAACAAGCAATTCTATTTTAGAAGCCGCTTTTAATTTTAGCAAGTCTAGTAGTTGTGATTCATGGTACATCTATGTCAAACAACTATTACAAGTTACACAGCTTACAGTTGATGACCTTAATCAGAATGACTTTGGTGAGATGTTCAAAGAAAAAATGGAAATCATTTACTTTAGTAAATAGAAGAAGGAAATCACCAAAACAGATAATAACAAACTTTGCACTTATAGCACTTTTAAATCTTGTACTAATTTGAACAATATTTAGAAAACACCAAAAACAGGAAATTTAAAAATGCTCTAACCAAA